GAGGGTCCGTGTTGGAGATGCCCTTATGCAGCAAAGTTTCTTGAAAAGGTCGCATATATACAGCATAGTTGTTTGCGTAGTCGTTGCCACAGATGGCGACTAGGGTCTAGGGGCACTGGAGCGAGTAACCAGTTGCTGCGAGATTTATAGATCCTTGACTAAGTGTGAACCTTCTTGGCCCTGCCGTTACTCAACCGCTGGACGTTTTAATCGGCACTGTTAAAGCAGATCGGGAAAGGATTTGTATAAGATATGTATTATGGACTTGTGCACCAAAGTTTTTTGGAAAGGTAGTCGTTGCCACAGACGGCGACTAGCGCACTGGAGTGAGTCAGCTGTTTCAGTGATATTTTCTGATCCTTGTCTAAGTTTCAACGTTTTTGCCCCTGCCGTCACGCATGTACTCCACTAACATCCCCAGGAGTATTATGTATGTAACTGTCAGCTGGACTAAGAACTGACGACTGGAGTGAGCAAGCTTTTCACTAAGAATATGTATGTATATATGTACGCTCATCACTCCACTAACATCCTTCGTCTCCAAAACTTCTCTGCTGAACCTTAATCAATCATGTGGCGCCCCACACCACCGATGCAGCTGGCAGTGGCTCTGCTCTGCCTCCTGAGCATCTCCGGCGAGCTTTTGATGCCCCTGTGTGAGGGGTGTGTGCAGGCCGATAAGAGAGCGCTTCTGGACATCCACATCCAGCTCTCCACGCTGCCGCACATCGACTGGGACAGGTCGGACTGGGACTGGGGTGACGGACATTGCTGCCAGTGGCTGGGGGTGACCTGCAGCAACTCCCGCCCCGCCCGTGTGACGGGCCTCAATCTTCTTGCATTTGTTCCTTCCCCGTGGCTCCTCAACGCTACTATGTTCCTTTCCTTCCAAGAACTGCAGACCCTCACCCTGAGTTTAAATATAAAGGGATGCATACCTGGTGCAGGTATTCTCTATTCAGATGTATCTAGTAGTATTTATTGTAACTAGTCTTGCAAGCTCTTTTGAAATACCAGTTTTTTTTTTTGGCAAGTTAGACCCAAATTATAGTCAATTTTTTTTTGCAAATCAACTATGTTGCCATGGCTATCCTAGTTTCTTTAGTTCTACCAACTATTTCGTCTTGCCATCTCCTCTGTTGCTTCAACACTTCAGATTATGTCTATTCATCGTTCGCTAAATTGAATTGTTACTCCTTTTGCAGGTTTCAATGTGTGGTCAAAATTACGAAAATTAAGAAGCCTTGATCTATCTGGAAATATCTTGAGTGCCGATAGCATCCGATCCCTAGTTGCAGTTTCATCACTACGGTGCCTGTCCATCAGTTCAAATGACTTGACCTCCCCCGTGGCGATTCAACGTGAGCTTCGTAGTTCTCCACTCTTGATTCCTGAAGACTTCTTTCAAACCCTACTTGTCTTTTTGTGTATGTGTGTGTGTGTGTGTGTGTCAACAGCATCTTGGAGACCAACATTTTACATGCTTTAACTTGCTTTTCTTGTACAGATTTGAGTACAATGAAGCTGGATACTCTTGATCTAAGCGATAATGCATTCAACGGCACCTTACCAACAGGTGACTAAATATTTTTCATACTATTAACTGTATACAGTACCGGGGTGGTCTACATATAGATCCTTCTGTTTCTAAATAAAAAACGACTCTTGAAGTTAGAACTCCACTTACTACTACTTTTTTAACAACTCCTACTTGTATGAACATGACTACTCTCTCCGTACAAAAATATAAAATGTTTTGGATATTTCAATGTGTACTACATACGGACTGAAACGAGTGAACAAACACACTAAAACGTGTCTATATACATTTGATTCAAAAAAAAGTTAGAACATCTTATATTTACGAACGAAGGGAGTACTATTTTATTTTTCTTTCAACAATTATTATAAAAATATAATTAAAGCATGTTCACTACTTCACTTGCAGATATTTGCAACATGGAAAACCTTGAAGAATTATATCTTCTTAGCAGTACGTTATTTGGAGAGCTTCCATCGTGCATAGGGAATCTTACTTCTCTCAGAATTCTTGATCTGTCGAATAATCTATTTACGATAAAGTTTCCCTCTCTTAGCTTTGCCCATTTGACTTCATTGGTGAAACTTTCCCTATCCAATAACAATCTTGAAGGAGTTCTCTTCCTAGGTTCCTTGTCAAACAGTAGCCAATTGACACATCTGGATCTTTCAAGCAGTGGTAACCATTTTCAACTGGAAACTGTGACTTCAACAATTAGCCTGTCAGCTCAGCTGCAGGTTATGGTACTGCCAAACTGTAACCTTAATGGCAATTCTGCCGTTATATTAAGTTTCTTATCGCATCAACATGCATTAGAAGCTGTTGATATCTCTAATAATAACCTAAACGGTCACTTCCCTTCGTGGTTGATAGAGAAAAATGTGAATTTGTCACATCTAAATCTGCAAGGCAACTCCTTTAGTGGAATTCTTCCGCTTCCATTCAAGTACACCACAGTCTGTCCTGGCTGGATGCATCTCATAATAGACTAAGCAAATTACCTACGGGCATCAACATCACATTCCCAAATCTGTACTATGTAAACCTGTCTAGGAATTCCTTCCAGGGCATCTTTCCTTCGGGGCTTCACTATATAGACAGCCTGACATTTTTGGACTTGTCTAACAACAATTTCTTCGATAACATAGTGTCCGCCTTTAATGGAAGCAAGTCCAATATCCGTTCTTTGTTCCTGTCTGGCAACAATTTCTATGGTTCATTCCCTCAAGACATACTATTAGCTTCCACCTACCATCTACTACTCAACGATAACCAAATCACCGGGGAAATCCCTGATAATATATGTCTTGGTCAGCAACTTACTTTGCTTGATGTTAGCAGTAACAAGTTGACTGGCTCTCTCCCTACTTGCATACATGCACTCGAAAATATTGCCATCTTGAATCTAAGAGGCAATTCATTGGGTGGACCGATTCCGCTGGAATTATGCCACCTTAAAAATCTTGTGTTCCTCGATATGTCAAAAAACAGCCTTTCCGGTCCAGTGCAATGCTTACCCAGTTTGCAGTATCTTCACCTGAGTGAAAATCGACTAAATGGAACGTTCCCTTTCCCATTGTCCTGGGGAACTGGTACATACACAATGGATCTACGGCAGAACCAATTCAGTGGAATCCTTCCAGAATTGATGCACAAGTCCTTTCCAAAGCTAAAAATATTGTTGCTCGAAGGAAATATGTTTGAAGGACTGATTCCAAATGATATATGTCACTTAAGGTATTTGCGTCTACTAGATCTGTCTCATAATAAGCTCTCTGGGCAGCTACCTTCATGCTTGAGCCATATGGGGTTAGATGGTGATTTGTATAACTTCCTATACAATGACTCAGATACTTCAGTAGTAATGAATGACACCGATGGCTATGCTGGGAGCGTAGTAGGTAGTTCTCCCGTGCCTGAATTTTTCATAGGACCAGACCAAGAAGAATTCATGACCAAGAGCAGGCAAGACAAATACAAGGGAAACATCCTCAGTTACATGTCTGGACTTGATTTCTCTTCAAACCAGTTGGAAGGATACATTCCTAAAAGTATAGGTGACATGAAATGGTTACGGGCACTGAATTTTTCCAACAATCGCTTTCATGGACCAATACCAGGTTCCTTGTCACATTTAAGTAATCTCGAGACCTTGGATCTGTCGCACAACAACTTGACAGGTCAAATACCACAAGAGTTGGTGGAACTACACTCTCTGGAGGTATTCAGTGTGGCGTACAATAACTTGTCCGGTCCTACGTTGGGTAGAAACGGTCAATTCATCACATTTGATGAGAGCAGCTATGCGGGCAATCCATATCTCTGCGGCCCACCACTGCTGAAGAGTTGCTTTGATGCACCGTTGATTCCTCAGCCTAAAGAAGATGAAGATGATAGTAAACTTGGCAATCTTGCACTATTCAGTTTTTCAGTGTTGTGCTACATGATTGGTTTCTGGACCTCCTTGGTTGTGCTTTATTTCAAGAGAAGCTGGCGATGGTCATGGTTTTCAGCAGTGGACAGGCTTGGTGACATTCTGATGGTTAGGTCAGCTTTATACATGACAAGGTTTAACCGCACCGACTGACCCTTCTTGAGTGTCGTAGACTTCATCGTTTAGTAACTATTATGTGATAGTAATAATATGTGTAATACGGCTTTAGATTTCTGATGCTACTTTGTTGTGTTTGTTTGCTAATATCTGGGTACACAAACTGTAGTGAAGTTATGACTGCTTCTACAAAAGGGAATGACAAGCATTCAACAATTGATTACTGCAAGACCGTTGGTTATATAGCAACCATTAAAATTTGTGTTCTCTATTTCTTTCCTGGTCTTTCTTGTGATAATCTGAAATATGAATCACATCCATTTATGTTTGACACGGTATTACTCCCTCCGTTCCGAATTACTTGTCTCGGATTTGTCTAGATACAGATGTATCTAGACTCATTTTAATGCTAGATACATCCGTATGTAGACAAATCTAAGACAAGTAATTTGGAACGGAGGGAGTACTTAATAGCATATCTATCTGGAGGTGATATGTAATGCAAAAACACCTACAAGATGCAAACATGCAAACCTTCCTAAAATTCATGATCAATAGTTAACCTTTCTGGTTTAGCTATCAATTATGAAATGCGTGATTAAACTCAGCTGAATATGCATAAATATTGAGATTGGAAACCATCCTAAAGAAAGAAATAATAGAAGGTAGGGAAATTAAAGTATTTTTTTCCTGAGTCCTCAACTAATCGTCTGTAGGCACTTAGATATAAAACATCCTCCGGGTGCAATCTTCTCCCTGAATAATAGAGCATGTATAGACTGTTAGAAATAAGCACATGGAGAAGAAAAATACATCTGGGAAATGATTATTGCTTGGTAAATACTACTCCCTCTGTAAAGAAATGTAAGACATTTTAGGTACTAATTTAGTAACCTAAAATGGGCCGTGAATTTTTGGGACATGGTGGCACGCGAGGATGGTATCTGAGCTGTCCATCTGTGCTATGAGATTAGCACTTAATATAACAAATTAATGAATACAAAAGTCATACGGTGAATTAATTTGCAGAATACACGTCTGTGATACGCGAAGTATCGTGGGTTGAGCGACCTTATCTTAAATGGGTTGGTGGGCTATACATCTATTTTAATGGTGTTGTGTTAATGCGACTCAGGCCATTTAAACAATGGTTGACGTTTAAACGTGTGTCTCGAACCTGTACACCTTGAATGACAATTAACAAGTGTGGGCTTGCCGTTGTTGTTGTGTTTTGTTTTTCCAAGTTCATTTTTGTGTCAGTATAACTGAGGTGTACTGGTGTATCAATTCATCAGAGCCATGTGTTCATATTAATGCTGCATTATTACTACTCACTCTACCGTTTCTTGCTGTCCATATGGCATGCACTCACTCTAGGCTATCATTTTGCTATCCATATAGCATGCACTCTGCTATTTCTTGCCGTTGACAATGTTGGGACAGAATACTATATATGGGGCCTCGTTCACTTAATGGTGTCATTTGGATTCCGCCAGTCATTGATTATGCATGTTAAAAATGTATTAGTGCTCGATTCCGCCAGTCATTGATTGTGCATGTTAAAAATGTATTAGTGCTCCTTCCCAAGTGTGGTTGTGTGGACGACAATATATGGATTAGAGTGCTCACATGTTCTGCTTACAATTTTTGGAAGAAATATTTTCCCCCCTATGCATAAACAGTAACTCACACGACACTGGCATCAAATATGTATAAGAATATTTAAAATTAAATTAAAGGGAAATATTACATTTTGTCGAATCAAGAATGGTAAACTACTATGTCGCCCTAGATACATCTGCACGTTTGACTCCACAGCATGAACCTCAACTTGTGATGACTAGTGGCAGTAGAGCGACCTCATCGCCACGGGCGTCATTGGATGAGCTAAAGAACTGCTCTAGGACATTAGTGAACACATGAATGATACTAGACATGAACATAAAATACAAGTGACGGAGAAGCTGGTGCTATGATGGAGAGAGAGAGAGAGAGAGAGAGAGAGAGAGAGAGAGGACAAGGAATATCGACTGCAATATAGCTATGACTCTACATCTCCATTTTTTTCAAGAGGAGCTCTATATATATCTTCATGGATGAGTTCTAGCTAGCTATGCACGTGAACAGTGTGCATGAACTAGAGAAGTAGGATGAACAACGCGCATGAACTAGAGAAGGATAAGTGAGAGAGGAGCTGCTGGATGGAAAAAGGATTGGGAGAAAATGCAGGTGGTGGTTCAGTTATTGTCTCTTAACTGTAACGTGAAGAGAGATGCAGGTGGTACATGTTGCCAATTAACTCTCCTAAACAATAATGTTGGATCGGTGCACTTATTGTGTGATGGGGCATACACACTTATTGATTGTGGAATACATGAACTATATGACACTTGTACGGTGCCAAGAAATCCATATACGGGGCTCATTGTATACAAACTGCAGGAATCACGTGGCAACCGACGGGGGCACTATTAGGAAAATGCCTACTAATGGCGCACCTAATTTGGCCATTAATGGCGCATTAGTGGTGCGCCATTAGTATATTTTACTAATGGCGCACCACTGGTGCGCCATTAGTATCTGGTATACTAATGGCGGACCATGGATGCGCCATTAGTATATACAACAATGCGCCATTAGTATGCCTCCCAGGGGGCCATGTATACCGAGGTGCTTTGGCATACTAATGGCGCACAACAACAAGATGCGCCATTAGTAACTTCGGCATACTAACGGCGCACTGTTTAATGATGCGCCATCAGTATCCTTTGGCATACTAATGGCGCACTGTGATGTGATGCGCCATTAGTATGAATATTAGGTTTTTTTATTTTTTTATTTTCTGTTTTTTGCACACGTTACAAAATGTATAATTGGACAAAATATAGACAACACACATCAACAACAGATTCATCGAATACAACAGAAGATTAGTCTCTGAATACAATTCATCATATTAGTCTCTGAATACAATTCATCATATTAGTCTCCGAATTGAAAAGACCGAACAAAGAAAGAACATTATATTACAAGTCTCGAGACCGCGAGTAGCGAGTTTGTCTTCACATTACAAGTCGATATCGATCATCTAAACTACCATCACATAGAAGAGAGCTGCGGTCATCACGATGAGCATCATCACGATGAAACTCGTCTTCATCCGGTTCCTCCAACGCTCCCTCCCCTCTCCCGCTAGATAGTGGGCGTATCTAGATTCGGCCTCGGCCCTAGTGGTGTACCCTTTGTAGCTGTTACCGCTCAATCGGTGAACCTGTCTCCGACACTCCTCCCAGTCGTCGTAGACTCCGGGAACCTTACCCTTGTACACGACATACGACGGCATCGCTATGCACTAGCCAAACGAAACGTTAGTACCAATTCACAGACAATACATAAGCAATATATAAGTATGCAACAGAACGATCGAAAGAGAAAAGCAAGACATTAATAGCATCGATTACATCTAAGTTGAACGACTCTCGAAACAAAAGAGACATAGTACAAGTTCATTAAAGTTTAATTACAACATGAGCCAATCGATGTTTCAGAACTAGACACAGCATCACTGCTTTCGACTCGACTCAAGGGACCGGAGCGTGGATGAAGCCGTCGTCTATCGTGGGAGTCATGAAAGAACGGGTGTTGTCAGCCTGCATTTGTAGCATTGTGTCGATGTCACTGTTGGACGGTTGATTTCTGAGGTAGAACTGCCCCGAGGTACGAAGGACATCTTGATGGATGATTTCCGCAAACTCCGACTGGATGCGAAAGAATTCTTGTCTGATGTCCGCGTCCTGGATCGCCGACACGCTCGCGGCCCAATCTTTGAGTTTACTCGGTAGCAAAAGTTGATGATGGTCCCGTACGATCGCCCGCATGTGATGGATGGCGTAGTAGGCACCCTTCTGACCGCCAGGCGGCTGCTTGACGCAACAGAACGTCGTATTATGGGAGAACACGTGCTTGCCGTACTTATGAATAGGCCTGGTGAAGATGCCTCCAGATTTGGCGTAGCCGGGGAGAACATCATCAAGAACCTTCTTGACATTTGTGTAGTGTACGTTCGACTGACGGTCCGGGTCGAAATACGTGGCCATGGAATATTTGGGGCTTAGGAGGATGAGCGTGCAATGTGTGTCACTGCAGAAAACACGGAATGTTAAAAGAAAAACGATCGAAATCTAAGAATTCATATGTTACGGGCCGGTTGAAGGGAGGACTTACTCGGGAAAGTAAGGCACGAGGAAGTTATCCTTATCTTGGTTTGCCAGAATGACGCCTTTGAGGTAAGAACTCGCGACTTGCCGGTCCCCAGCGCTGCCCAAGATCTTGGCATGCATGTAGAAGGGGTCGACTATCACGATGTCCGGGGTCTTGTCGCGAATGATCCGCATCTCCATACTCAGCGAAAATAGCCGAACGAAGGTGTAGTGCAGCAGATGAAGGTTCAACATAGCGTGGATGTCATCAAACCGCAGGACGATCGTACGCCCGATGGAGTTATCCACAAAGCCCTTGCCCTCTGGCACCTTGGCCGTGAAAACCGGGTATGCCACATCCTTCTCTCTGAGACGCCGCTTCTCCAAAGAAAGAACACTGTCATGCAGACTCCGCATAGCATCAGTTGCAGCATTGAGCATATTTGTCGGTAGCATCGCCCTACCCGCCACATGCACCCTCCTCGAGATATCCTTAGGTGAAGGTGGCCCGTCCTGAGCACGGATCGTGCTCGGTGCCGGCTGGCTCGCACCCTTGTTAGTCATTCTTTTGCGTGCCTTCTTCTTCTCCTGTAATGGGACTGAGTTCTGCTCACAGACCGCCTTCTTGAGTGTGTTGGGGCTGATAATATTTCGCACCTCGCCTATCTGAGGCTCGGTGAAGTCGGCAGCTGGAGGCGTCTCCTGAGAGCTGAACGGCAGACGACGCCTGTTGCAACTTGGCTTCTCCGCGGTACCAGCTAGATCGCACACATCTTTTGTTGGGTTGGGTTCTTGAGAAGGAGGCCCCATGAAGTCGCCATCGTACCCATGTTCGGC